AGATACATGTAGAAGTGTAAATCCAAGCATGCAAATGAACGTAGATGCAACAGAATGCAAGGGAGATTTTGAGTAATAATATCAGAAAAACACACTTTGAGAGTTTCTACTAAAAAGGTCATATTTATATACGGTTACATTCCTTTAACTTTGAAATATATTAAACAAACTGAAAAGATATGCGTTACCATCATGAAAAAACTTGATACAAATATATACAGAACTTGGACTATATAAATTGCACTTGTATCCAACAACACTGAATTGTTATAGTTATATCGCGTTTAATTACTAAAAATAGAGACAATTCTGGCGAAAAATCGACTAGAACGCGCTCTCATTTTTTATATTGTTTACGTTAACTATAAATACCAATGAAATAAGTACAGTCGAACCTTTTTTTTTCATCCCGGCGGACAAAATTAAAAGTCCATACGTTGACTCTTGTTTAAAACCTGTCTACAAAGGCCCCCTTTTTACAACGGCCACGTTCTTCTGTCCCCAAGGTGGCCATTATAGAGAGGTTCGACTGTAGACCTTTTGAGCATTACATAAATTATGTAATGAACTAAAAACAGTTCCATGTGTTCAAAATTGACCTAGATTTTTCCACTTGCACACTTGGATGTATGCAAGTTTATTCTAAAAACGGCTGACTACAAAACGTCATCTACTGAAATCCCGGAAAGGGAAAACCACCATATGCTCTACCCAGTAAGGGAAGAAGTCGAGCTAATGTCTCCTGTTCATGGCTATATGATACATGGAATCTTAAGTTTCCTTTCTCGTCAGAAATGATATTGAGTTCCCCTCTGGGCATGTCCCTATGGCCACTTTCAATTTTTTGGAGAATGCACTCAGGAACGGTCCATTCTGGATACCTGAACTGAAGGTCGTTTTTCTCCATAGACACTTGGCCGTAACGAACACCAGTTTTTAGCATAAGAGCCTCATTTTCCGCTATTTCCTTAGCCTCCCGGGAATTTTCCTCAGCGAACCACTTTAGTACACCTTGCTTTGACACGACTTTTACTTCAACTTTAGGTGTCGTTCCAAATTGTTTCAAAAGATCTTGTTCAACCTCCTCCGGAATCTGCGGTTCCAGCCGTTCTAGTCGTGTACGGAAAAAGCCTGGGATCAGATGTGGCAGGGGTTGCTCGACGAAGACTACATCGCTAATCCTACCACGTTCAAGTTTTCTCCAGTCGAGGACAGTTTTTGAGCTTTCTTGCGACCAAGTATCTCTCGTTGATTTTGTGACAGGCGTGGAAACCGGTTCTTGAGCTGTCAGGATGCCTTGTTCAGCAGAGTTGATCGCTTCATCTATCAACTCGTAAGAATCCGTCGAAGTCGAGTTTGATGAGGAATGCTTTTCTTGATGCGCTTGGATGCCAAGTGCTGGGTGAAGGCTAACATCACGGCTCAGCAGATCAGCTAATGTAAAAAAAGGTGGACATCCTTCTCTTTCATCAACATTTATTGGACGCGTTATAGTGGCAGAAGCAGAGGCAGCAACACCCCTTGGCATTTTAGGGCAACTTCGCTTTGGTGATACCTGAGTTGAAAGTTGCCCCGGAATCAAAATGTGTGCCAAAGTATCCGGGTCAACAGACAGCGCTCCATCTTTTAGCCACACAATGAATCCCTCTTCCCTTTTTTCAACCACGCCCTCAATGAATAGTTGGACCTCATTTTCTTGTGAGAACTGGCCGTTAGCACAGACTATAATTACAACCTTTTCAGCTGCAATAAAGAAAAGACGAACATAACAATTTAAAGTTTACTATTATTTGTTTGGACTCAAAGTCAAGCAAAAAAGTAACTTTTCCTTCCACTAGAGAGCGATGACTCCATTCATACTTCCCAAATCATTAATAATTCATAAAGAGAAAACAAACAAAATCCCAACCGTGACGGTGGTTTGGATATCGGATACTAATTACCATAAAATTTTGCAAACTTTATCTTTGAATTTCTTCAAGAATTAAGTTATTGTTAATTTGAGAAGCTATATAAAAAACGATACGCAATGTTTCATCCGATATCCAGCTAGTCGAAGTCGGTCTTAAAAATCTCGGCTGCACCTTGTTTTTAAACCCACTTCTAGGTGTCTGATGGATATCGGATGAAACTCTGCGTGTCGTTTTTGATATATTACATGGAAAGTTCTTTGTGGCATCGTGCATTTATCAATTCAGAGCTGATAAGATGAGCATCACCCTGCTAGCAGAGTATTTCTCTCATTTGCTTGATTTGGCGTACTTGAGAGAGACTCTGAATGAATCGATCGAGTAAGATCTTTGTTGAGCATGCGCTGGAGGGATACAGTTTCGAACTAAGGCCTAAGGGCGATTGGTACAGCGCGCTCAGTTACTAGCACGTTTTTTTTTCTATTATAGGAATTCGCTTTATTATTTTTTATTAAAATTAGTGTTAGTTAATGCAGGGGCCAAAAAGGACGAAGGGTCAGGATTCCAAGAACAGGGGACTAGCACTAAGCACAATCCCAACAAGAATTCTCAGGAGTAGCCCCAGGAATTCCCCCAGGGCAGCTTACCAACTCTATCCAGAACTGTTTTGAAAAGATCTTTGTATTCTAGTTCTTCAAGAAGTGAATATCGACAGGCACGGTTTACTTCATCTGCGTCCACAAGCAACAAACATATCCTGGGTAAGTTTTCCCGTTCTAGGTAATCCCTGACTTGGGTTGGTGATGTTCCTTTAAGTCGAGTCGTGACAAACGTTACTGTGTTACCAATGATCTCTAAAACATGGTCCACAGCGTACAACGACGTAGCTGGTACATTGCAGCTAAGTAATGCTAAGGCTACAAGACAAAAATACTGCCAATCAACTAAGCTACATTGACTTGACTTGTCTTAAACAATGGATAAAAGGTGAAGCCTTTAGTAAGCACGCACAAATTTTCACTATTTGACAAGAACCTCAGTGGTTCACTGAATAACGGATTAACTCGAGTTCACTTCCAATCAACAAATTCAGTTTTGAAGGAAATGAAATTAAACAAATCATTCATGATATGGTTATCCGCTTTCCTTTTCTCACAAGAAGGCTTAACCCACATCCATAAACGCCCCTATTTGCCTATAAGGACGCAAGGTTTTAACTTTAAATATAAATCCTATCTACATGTATCTAAGGCTAGATTTGTGTCGCAGACTAAGATTTGTGCGGCAACATTTTCTTCTGGTCTGAGTTGTTCTAAAGCTGGATAGCACAATCAGCGGATAACACCAAATGGTTTTTGGTTTTTCTAATACTTATCCGCTGGATAGTGATTTATCCAGTGGATAGCGCTATTCAACGTATGAGCAACCGCGACCTGGCCTTAATCAGGCGTTATATATAAAACAATAAATTTTTGCGACCACTGGGAAAACTTCTTGCTCATGGGGACAGACAGTGTCCAATGCAAACGTTCAATAACTACTTAAATTAGATGACCCACTTAAATGCGAAGAAAATACAGATTTAACAAAGACAACGCCACGACAGTGATCCTGGCTTGCTTAGATCTAATAGCCGAATTGACCAATGGTTGAGCTAAAAATCGACAACCGGGAGTCGCGTTTAATCCTTTCCGCGTGCTTTCAGGTTCTCATTTGAGGTTGCGTTGTGTTCGCTAAATCTGATAGAAAGAGATATATGTACCTGCTGTTATAGGCGTCTCATTCGAGGCAACGTGCTGTGTTGTCTCTGATGAATCTTGCATCGTTCTCAGATTCTCCTGGGGCCTTTCCGGGAATAATCTCGTTGAAGAACCTTCGAGCGATGCAATAATTGACGAGACTGAGGGAGGTGATTCCAATTTGGTTGCTGAATTAAACAAACACACACAAAGATCGAAGAAGTTCATATTTTGTAGCCAAAAAATGTACGATCACAATTACCATCAATAATACACAAATCAACTGGGCGAGATAATTAACAATTATTGGATTTGTCAGTGTCTCGCAGTTCGAATTTGGCAAATAATTGATTTGCGAGACACTGACAAATCACGATATTTTGCGACAACCGAGTACTATAATCGTTTTATCATTCGGTCACCGAGTTTGTCTTGGCCAATGAAAACACTTATGTCCAAGATCGATCTTGTTAGGAAATATTTGCTATGAAAAGGCAGAAAAAATTGCATGGAGTGATAATGCATGGTTCAAATTGAGTTGTAACTATGCCCCCTCCAACCTCGGGCAGACTCCTACGGGGGACTTGCAATGTTTTCTTTCTTGGAGGTCTATTTCCCACCCCCGGGCACGCAGAAAGAGACAATTCCCCACCTCCGAGCTCCAGATCGACCTCTTGTACGTTTCTTGGGTACATCTTTTTGATCCGCACAAAAGCAAAACGAGACGTTTTCACAACTTTTATAAACGCTTTCCTGAGTTTTTTGAGAGAAGGATAATAAATGTCATAATGAAGTTAAAAAATGAACAATAAATTTGAAAACGAAAACGAAGAAGAAAAAACTCTTTAAAAACGGCCTCCTTGATAGAACACTTCATAAGAACACTGGATCGAATTTCTATTTCTTTATATATACCAAAGCTTTGTAATCGTTTTCATACTGATAAGTTTTCTTATCATTATTTAAAGCTAGGCTGAAGAAATATGTCTTTCCTTCTTTTGGAGTACGCATCACAGGCACATTCGTTTTAAATTTTAAAACATACCTTTAAATACAGACTTTAATTTTGATAAGTTATTCCTATCCAACCACTCTCCGACAAATTCCTGCCTTTTTCCTTGAAATACGTGGTCTTGAGCTCCGCAGCCATCGTGTAAAGCGCGCGAAAAATGACACGTACTTCCCAAAACTTCCCAAAATCAAAGAGAAGATATTTTTAATTTGCCCCACCCCCTACCCCTGGGCCCGAAGGGCTGGACTTGTCCCGAGGGTTCCCGGGGGGGGGGGTGGTGTAACAGGTCAAACTGAACCATGCATAATGCGTCATGTTTACATTTCACCGCCACAACTGAAATTTATTTTCTTACCAGTATGGATATACATGCGTTCTTGACGATAGAGACAGGTAAATTTAGCCAGCTTTTTTCACATTAATGAAAAAAAGACGACTATGCGTTTTCACATTTTCAGTCAAGTTTGTCAAAAATGTCCCAATTAGTTTTGTCACCAAAAGCACAAAAACTTAAAGCCTGCTCTTACGCAAAATTTCTTAACAGGCGCTTGTGTTGATGTTTTTTTTTTCTTGGTTTGTTTATTGTTTTCGACTGATAGGTCTCTCTTACATTTAATACCTTTGAACTGTTTTTCATTTGGAACTTGAGGCACTTTCCTCTTCGACAAAGACAATGGCGCTCCTTTTGCTAAAACAAACAAATAAATAATACATATATAATTAAGTACCCTTAGGGACCGGTCATTATTTATCGCCTGGGTGGGGGAGGGGGGGGGGTAACTTGATTTTTAGGAGAACAAAAGGGAAGATTGTACTGTCGCAATTTGTAATAATCATCGCACTTTGTAATACCTGTCGCAATTTGTAATAAACCGTGTCGCACAAAAAAGCCGTCGCAATTTATAATAACTGTCCATCGCACTTTGTAATAAACTAAGCTGTTGCAATTTGTATTAATTCCATCGCACTTTGTAACAATTTTTTGAGAGTAATTAAACTTACTTCGTCAACAATAATATAATGCCAAAATACGCATGGTACTTCATAAACAAAGATGATGACGTCTGCTAGCACGTAAGTAACATCTCCGCTCATTCAAACCATTTAACTTTATTCACAGTCCTAAACATTTTTTAAAAATTAGTTGATTAGTTATCTGACTTACGAAAAGCTGCATTCTTAAACCTTGCTATTGTACTAGGTGGTTTGCATTCAGTGGTTACCCGGCGGGTGTTCTTCCTTATATGGCCAATACGGGTATGTGCCTCTGGACAGAGCATTAGTTGTCAGAGTACAGGATCTAGAGACACTAGATACAAACGAGCCATTATTAAAAGGCATTTAATTTCCGCAAATCGTAACATCCATCCTACCTCATTCGAATCAGGACACCAGAAAACTTCAAGCTTTCCTTGTTAGATCTTATAACAGGTCGACACAACACGTGGTGCACCGTCCTTGTCTAACGTGCAATCTTAAAGAAGTAATAGTGGCTTCCATATTTTGGCCAAGTTAATCAAACGAGGCCTGGAAAGATTCAAACTGTTCACTGCAAATAAACCAAAAAACGTCACCAGTGACAAACCGTCGAACCACAACAGAAACATAAACACAAAATCCCAATTAGTCGCAGGCCAATACCTTCAACGTATGTATTTTTTTTATAAAACTCACTTGGGGTCTTACGCTGAGCTGGCTGGCCATTTGGTCCATTATTCTCACTTGATTTGATCCCATATCAAGGAACAAAAGGAGTACTCATTCCATCTTAACACAATTTTTTTCCATATGGAAACCTCTAAAGCACATACCGTGGGGATAGTAAAAAATTCTCCTTCCCTGCGTATATACAATACGTAAGACCTTGCAATTCTTCCGAGCGTGTTCAGGATTACTTTTTTCCCACAAAATGGAAAGGATGGAATAAACCATCCATTACTACTTGAGTTACCCCTATCTAAGGATCAAACCAAAGACGCAAGGACAACAAGGCAAAAAATGATGCCCCATTAAAGGCTCGATATCCTCAAAAACCATACCCTATGAGGCGGTACTTACCTATCTAGCCCATCTATATATATGGGATTATCCCCCCCTCCCCCACCCAAGAAGACTTCACGTGTCACGTGGCAAGCAAACATGGATTTGGACGACGAATGCCAGGTTATTCATGAATTATCTGTTGTTAAATGTTGATTTTGTTACTTAAATATTCTTGAATTTAAACATGATTCATATCTTTTTGCTGATGTCACAGGAAGTTTCATGTCTTTTATAAACGCGATTCCAGTTGGTCACGTGATTAATCAGGGCAGAAAAATTTATAGCGGAAGACATCCACGTTTGACCAAAGAAAATGTTACGGAGATGTTACGTGCAGACGTCATCATCTTTCTTTATGAAGTACCATGCATATTTTTGCATTACATTAATGTTGACGAAGTAAGTTGAATCACTCTCAAGAAAGTATTACAAAGTGCGATGGAATTATTACAAATTGCAACAGCTTAGTTTATTACAAAGTGCAACGGACAGTTGTTACAAATTGAGACAGCGTTTTTGTTACAAAGTGCGATACGGTTTATTACAAATTGTGACAGGTATTACAAAATGCGATGATTATTGCAAATTGCGACAGTACAAGGATCAATTCGTAACTGAGAACCCAAAAGGGGGGATTACTGAAAACTTTGGAAGGATTCAGAGGGGGGACCACTCAAATTTGCTTCGAAATGAAGACATGGCGGGGGGGGGGGGGTCGGGAAAGTCATGAAATGTTATTAGGGGAATCACTTCAGTGAAGTAACATTTAAAATGGGGTTCGGAAAAATTTCACCTTGTTTAGCCCCAAATCCTGAATAGTTAAACATGCACATTTATGCAAAATAAAGAAAACAATTATTTTAGAGAAAATGAAATGGTAGAAAATGTGGCTAACAGGCCACTGGAAACTACAAGGCATTTGAAAAGAAGGTCTCCCAGAGACAGAATCATATTTATATCTGAAAAGAAGGAGAATAAGATGGAGATATATAAGACCAAAATAAAGACACAAAAGTAGTAGTGTTTATTATCATATTGATTTATGAAAAAAGGGGGTTTTCTTTCCTGAAAGATGAAGTTGCCAATACTGTTAAAGCTAATTGTACACAGATACCTTCTGTACTTATCAAATTTGAAAGACTTTTCCATTGCTTTATGGTTGACATCAAATAATTTTAAAATAATACAAAGTTATTGGACAAAACTAATGAAAAGGCAGAAGATTTATACATTGTACAAAGACAAAAGGGGACCAATTACTACCCCAACTGCTTTTTACAGAACATCTGCAAGGTAAAATATCTGTTTACGTCCTGAGGCTGTCAAGGAACCAAAAGGGTGTTATCCACGACCACCAAAGTCTAGTTTGGGCAGATAATACCCTCTAATAATGATAATCATCGTCATCATCATCGTTATCATCATAGGCAATGATAATCAAGACTGAATTTATTCCATACCTGTTAAACTGCTTTGGTTTGTACTTGAAGAGGATGGAGATTGATCCGTTAGTCTCACATCTTGTTGATAAGCTGAAGTTCCAGAAGGAGTCAAGGAAGCAAAATTGTCAATCTGACAATTAATTGAGGGCCCCTCTGTTTGATCAAAAATAATATAATTCAACCACGCTATAACACTTTTAACATAAGTAAAATCGTCAGACCCACTGATTCTGTACGTGATAAGCAAGTCTCCTAGTCTCATTAGCCCACCAGAATTAATGGATTCAAACGTTGACAAATGCTAGCTTTCAACTAATTTTCAGAGGGGCCATTACTGTGGCGATTAATGATAACTGAGACTTCATATCACTTCATGACTAGTATAAGATTTTTACCACTTTGCCATCAACACAATAGTTACATAACTGGCAGCAAGTTGTCAATGTTGTACCAAAAAGCTTTTTTGTTTTCTGTTACTTTACTTGGGTGTGTGGGCATACATGTGGGTATGTGTGCTTGAAGGACAAGCATGCAGTCAAAGTATTTTTTTAAAATCAAGTTGGCATTTTCTGAAAGACTTTTGAACTAACTTTCTCCTGGCCGAAAATCCAAATATTGCGAATACAAATCCACTTGGCTACACACATGCTTGATGACTAAAAACACTCCTAGTTATACCTACTCCCATGAACACTACCTACAAACCCAAATTAGGAATTCCTTTAATTACTGGTAAGTAAGAGTTACACTAAATTTAATAAATATACATTGCTTACAGCAGTTTGCCAACATTGCATATAAAAAAATACTGAATACCAAGACTCACTGTGAGGCAAGGACTGCAAGATCTCCACAAATTTCCTACACTGCTTTTCCCAGCTGTACTTCTCTGCATAGCGTGTTCTTAGTTGCTGACACTCCTGTATTGCCTTTTCACTCCCCCTCTCCCGAATGCGTCTGATGGCCTCAGCCCAGTGATTTGGATCCTCAGAATCTACTACGAAGGATGTGCCAATTCCACGTAGTGCCTCTCCAAATCCACTGTTTTGACTTACAAGAAATGGCAAACCAGCAGAGAGTGCTTCTAGTGCTGTTAAACCGAAACCCTCGGTTCTGGAAGGTATTAAGACAAGGTTTGAGGCACGCATGATTGCCTCGAGAAAATCTCGATCCTCCTGATACCCTATGACAATCAGTTGGCTTCGATCCAAGCCTTGCTCAAGCAATTTATCTATTAATTGGTTCTCGCTCTCACTGGATGCACCAACAAATGTCAGATGATAACTCTTGTCGGCCAGCTTGGCAATTGCTTGAGCAGCAATGTCATACCCTTTAATTGCAAAATCCTCTTCGTCCCCTCGACCAAAAACTAAAATACGAAACTTTGCACCAGTCTGACAAGAAACTCTTATGGACGATAAGTTGTGAAAGATTCCAGGGGTTAAGTTGTAAACTCTTTTCCCCCGCTGATTCAAGTAGGCTGAATAAAATTCCTTTAGTTTGGGTCCAATAGCTATGACAAGGTCAGCCTTTTCGCACAGGCTTAACTCGTTCCTTTGTTTTTCGTCTCCCTTAGAAATGGCACCTGGGTAACTTTTAAACATTGCAAGTTCATGAGGGGCAGTATGTACAACTTGCACCCATTTACAATTGTGTAAGCGTCTTATTATCTGTGCCTGCTTTCCAAGAACTACACCATGTCCAACTACAAAATCAATCAGTAGACTCTCGGGTGGGGACACCAACCGCTCAACTCCTTCATAACCAGTTAACATTTCTGCCTTTATTACATTTATACCATACAGGTAAGCTGCTTCTTTGTCGTTCTCAGAATATTCTGGAACAAGGAAACTGACTGACACATTAGGTTGCTTGGCTAACTGTATGGCAAACTCCCTGTTTATGGTTGACAGACCTCCTTTGGAAGATTTCCATTCACTTGCCAAGAGGGTAATATGTAATATGGAAGACATGGTATTGTCTGGAACAAGTTCGCTTTAGAACCATCTAAAAAAATTCAAAAGAAAAAAGAAATGGGAAGGCTTTTAAAATGAACAAGAAAATATTATGTTCATAAGTCCTTGTAATTTAGATCACTTCTCTCTTAAGATCTTCCCTTACATCCTGTCATCTTTCATCCGTAAGATTGTTGTCAGGACAAAGCGGGAAAAATATATGTACAATTTTAAGTAGCCTGTTTAGCAGGCACTCGCAAGTAATATGGGTGCAAGAAAGAAAGGGGAGTGCAAGGGGAACAAATGCTTGCAAGTAATAAAGGTGCAGGAAAGAACGAGGACATTTAGGGTGACACATGAGGATAGAGGGAGCTCCCTCCTTTACATGTTTCCATTGTCCACCCTGTTCTCTACTTATCAAACCCATAACTTCCAAGCACCTGCTGTGCAGGTGCAAGTTTTTCATAAGAGACAAAATCCATAACATTTGGGCTACTAAGTTCAACCTGACAAAATTAAAAACTTCAAGATACTCAAAGGAAATGCAACTTTTCATTCAAACTATCAATCAATTAAGCTTAATTTGCTCCTGCAAATATTGTTTACAAAGTTATTTGAGAACGCAAAGCTACATGTATTTGTATCACTTACTAAGGCTGTGTTCAAAGAAAAATACACCCTTCCACGATTTTTCAATTTTTGGTAAAGAGCTCTGCATTTGAATATATCCATTGACACTGCTAGAAAGAGGTGATACAGCTTTACGTCCAAAGGGAGCAAAGAACTGATATTGGTCCACAAAGTCGTGAAATAGTGCAGTGCAGATTCTAAAAATAGTTTATGTCAGATGAGAGCCCACGCATGACTCAGACAAACCTTGGCGTTTCACTCAAAGCAATGTTTTTCACGCATTTTTATTAGGAAATGATCAACAGCAAACGTTGTAGCTGGGAAGAATGTAAGAGGGACTCACGATCCCTGAAAAAAATTGGTCTGAGTAGCAAAGTATGCTGTGTTTCATGGAGTGACCTGGCAGCCGGGAAATGTTTTGAAAAAAGTAGAAACCTCCGGGGGGGGGGGTGGGAGGGGGGATTTTCCCCGGCTACTAAGAGAGTGGCCCCCGGCTACTTTTATTGGAAAGTAGAAGAAAAATAGAACCAAAAGAAATCCCTAGCCATTTGATTCCCCTCCCACTTGTTGTATTTACACTGGCAACTTGAAATCTTAGTGACAACCTTGATGAGGGCAAAAATTAAACCCCAAAAAAAGACCAAAAAAAAAAAAACCCACACTGAATTTCCAAGCTGTAAAATTTCCAGAAAGCATTAAAATAAGCACTGATATAACTATCACAAATCTTCAGACTGTTTTGAATACTCAAAAAAATCCCTATCTAAATCAAGCTGCCCAAAAAATACTTGCTAAAATTTTCCTACCCCAAAACGAATTCCCGAAATCAAATATTTCAAACCCAAAAAACTCCTTCAATCATCCCTGTCACTTGAAATCAGGAGTTCCCCCCTGGGTTAGATACAGTTAAGTAGAGGGAAGTCTGAGATTTAATCCATTTTCACAAATTCTCCGACTTAATTCTTCTAAAAAATGTTTCTTTAGAAATCTCAAGCGTGTTCAAGCATTGCCTTGGGTTTGATCAAGAAGTAGACTCAATCGTCAACCTTGGGCATAATTATAGTGAAATGTCAAATGTCTTTTAACACTTCACCGGCAAGACGCACTGAGTGAGCTTTCAAAGGATATACATGAAAAGGAAAATTATCATTGAAACCTCCCCAGAGCATTTGATGTTTGTTCGCAAATGTCAAGCAATTCTAAATTTAGGGTTTGCTCTTGTGGTGAGCAAATTCTCCAAGCGTGAGGATATTCGAATCTCGAATCCTGGTGACGGTTTTCAGAATGCTAGCTTGGCAGTATGGTCTCTCTGTTTTTCACGAAAATCTGAACTTGTCAATTATCTGGCATGAGTACATGTACAACTGTACGACTCTTTCTACTTCAGCACACAGAAATCGAAATTTCTAAACAAGTATCAAATTTTCTTATGAGAATTAGATGAGAATTCTTAAAAAATTGGATGTGCGAATATCAGACTGTCGGGTATCTTGTTCATTTCCTTACCAACTGCAATGAGGTATTGACACACAGCGTTTAAAAGTCCTCTCATTTTCCACTCTACTTCAATTCTTTGAGTACTTTAGCCATATTTTGATTTTTTCTACATCATATTCTCCTGAATCTTTTTAGAATTTTGAAACTGGATTAGTAGTTCTGTTTGGTGATGCCAAATGGCAAGGTAAATTTTTAATTTTTGAATTTGTATATTGAAGCATCAGCCAATTCCAGCTGTGCCCAGAACCCAACCCCCCCCCCCACACACACACACACACACACACACACACACACAAGGCATTAGCATTTTTTTTGCCTTGGATGGCAAATTCCTGGGGGTGGGGACTTTTGAGCTGTCAAATTCCCCAGGGTGGGGACGAAAAAAGAGGGCAAATGGCCCATCCTCCAACAGCACTGCAACATTTTTCATTGACTGCACTGTCTAATAGTGCCATTTTAAGCATTTTAATGTGCGATTTTTTGTTTCAATTCACATCTTCCTTTGTAATAGCGCTAGGATTCCAATCAAGACTTCACGCCGCGATGACACCAGTTTATAGTCTTGTTATAAAATTATTGACACTAAAATTAATAGTGCACTATAAAGTTATATGTTATGTCAAATAAAATATGCAAGGATATTCTTCAAATGATATCAACAGAAATTTGATTCAATTTAACTAAAGAACGTTGAATCACGTCAATAGCTCCCGCTTTCGCTTCGTAATTCTGGCTTGATAAGCAACAAGAAATGCATGCATAAAATCGAGAACAGGCCTTTATGACCCTCTTCAATTTTTTCCTGTCCTTGATAGATGAGCTGATATGCTTGTTTTTTCCAGCAAAATCCTCTGTGTAGTTATATTCTGATAGGAAACCGCGTGCGTGTCAAAAGTTTGGGAATAGCCCCGGGGTTGGCAAATGCCCAGCCCCTGGGCAGTGCAAAATTTGCAAATGCCCCACCCCCAGGACTAACAAGGCGAGCAAATGCCCCGCAGTAGCCCGGGAGGGCCTGGGCACAGCTGGAATTGACTGATGCATAAAAGGTACAAGAAAGAATTGTGAAAGCTGTCTGGTTATTATTTTTTGCACTATATGAAACAATGAAGCTGCGGTAAAGCTAACTTTGTATGGGGTAAAAAGAAGACGTGGTATTCAAGATTCCTTTCTATTTTACCAGTGGGCCAAAGTTGTTCACATGAAAATAATATTCTTTTCAGTGGTGGATCCCCATCAAAATGACTAAACCATTCTGATACGTTCGCACTGTCTTTTGCTCGAGCAAGCTAGTGTTATTTGATTTTTACGTTTTAAATCACAAGCAACATTATTGTCTGATTTACGGCGTAACTTTTTACAAAAGAAACAAAATGCAAGCCCAGACATTCCAAAAATTCAAAGTTTTCCGGGGGGAATCCCCTAGATACTCGCGCCATCGACGGCGTGAATATTCGCACCGTTGTTCTAAACTGCAACTTCCTAGGGAAAACCTTAGCTTTAGGCCTGTATCATTGCTGAAAAGTGGTCTTGTTCATTGTCAAATTAACTGCAGACTACCTACCCACTTCAGGCCAATTCAGTAAGTAAAAGTCTTATCTGTATCCGAACGCCTTGAACGAGGCATAACACAACGGATCCTTTCTTATTCATTGAACAAGCTAAGATGTAGATGAAGTGACCGGGTATTCTGCCGTCCAACTTTCTTCGAACATTCTATCAGGTAAAGAAGAAAGCTCGTTACCAAAAGCTCCACTGAAAAAGAAAAAATAAAGATCGAAGCAATCCTTACAAACTTACCAAAATAGGTACGGTCCGTATCTTGAGTCTTCAAGTGTTATCCTTAAAGAGGACCAAGATGTGATGAACGTCTGTTAAGTTTACCAAACTGAGTAAAGGAGAGCTGAACAACCTAGTGAACGTTGCGGTGTGTCAGGGATTACTACAAACTCACCAAACCAAACGTCCCAAAACCACAAAAGCTACAGGACAAATAATACCGATGGATTGTGGGAATGAAATCAGCTTCCACGAAAGTCACGAAAATTATACCACAGGGAAACGAGGCAGCGTCATGTCACGCCAAAAGATGAAAATTGATTCCTAGCTATAAATCACTGTTCACTGGAATATCATTAGAGTGACAATCAACAGGAGCCTATTACCCTATTACTACAATCAATAAATTTACAGCAGCAATACACTCAATAATTGTACTGTATTTACAGATTTTCTCATGCAAAAAATTATATCCTTTTCAAAATCTCAGCCTGGGGTTTATTCTTAAAATATTCTTAATTTTTGCAAATTTCAGCTTCGATATTCTCATAAAATATATTCTTATAAAATAAAAAGAGGACACCATATTTAGTAATTTCATATTAGATAGTGACTTTTTTTAATTCGGTCTTAAGTATTTCCTTGAGATTGTTTGTACAAAAATTACCCTATAGTTCTACATGAAATGATATGAAATTATACATGAAATGATATAATGGTTTAGTGAGGGGAGAGGAGGTTAATCTAAAGTTCCTTCTGATTCTCTTTTTAACTTTGCAGCACATTCAATACTTTGTTTTTTCTGTTTCATATACTTGAATCATTTGAGGGATTTTCTCAAAGCATACCCTATCTTATCAGGGGCACCCAACGACAATTTTCAGAAAATATCTGTTCGGAAGACGATTTGAGATCTAGAATTTTCGGAACATTTGTTGTAAAATTTCTTGCTTGCCTGCCTCTCCTACGATTTTCGAACATCTAAAAAATGGTATAGTTGCCCATTTTTTCACGGATTTTTACCCTTAAAAAGTCACCTAGAATTTTCCGGGGCCTTTGGCTGACGAAATTTTCGAAAAGTTAAGTTTTGATCCCTATAATTTTCGCATCACTAG